TGCCTGTGCGGGGGAGAGAGGGGCGGCGGACACGCCAGCCCTCCGGTGGGGATTGCAGCCTGTGTTTCCTGACCTGGGGTAGCGGCGCGGTTTGGTTTTTGGACCAGCTCATGCAGTGGCGCAGGAAGGAAGGAAGGATTTATGGGCTCCCCGTTTATATCAGTGTGGAAGTGGGGTGAGCAATAGGGAGGCTGTTCTCCTCCCAGCTCCGCTGTAACCGCTCCTGGGAGTGTACCATGAAAGGTTAGGGGATCCAGGTTATGTCACTGGTGTGCTGGTCCAGATCTTTGATGATGGGGGAAGCTCAAGCTGTGATTCGTGCTAGTGATGAGGAAATGTTCTGGAAGAGAGGTCTTTTTTTTTTTTTTTTTTAAACCTACCATGTTTCATCATTTCATTGATTGGATTCAGCTACATGCTTCATTTTTTAAACAATCCTCTCCTCAGACTCTTAGTCTTACTTTGCTGTGAGGATAATTCAGGGCCGCAGAGCTCCTACACATGGCACATGGGCAGCAGATCCTGGCACGCACTTCACAACTGCTTGTTGCCACGAGACATTAAAGACATGAATGCAAAGTGCAAGAGGCGGGGCTGGGCCCCATGGTACAGGGAAATTTGGGAACTGCAGCTATGCAGTGGTGTACTTCATAGTATCACTTCGTTAATAGCTCATGGTGTGTCATGGTTTTTTTTTGTGTTTAGGATGTATAAAGATTAAATGCCGAGCGTCAAAATGAGCGTGACTTCGTGGTTCTTGGTGAGCAGCACTGGCATTCGCCATCGGCTCCCTCGGGAGATGATATTTGTTGGCAGAGATGACTGTGAACTGATGCTCCAGGTAAAGTTACGCTTTTTGTTATTTCTTCTGAAAATGCAGATGTGAATGTAATGCTGGAAATCTGTAGAGATGTTGCATGCTTTCTTCAAATGCCATCTTTTAAAAGAAACTTCCTTTTTAATGTTGAGTCTGTGGTTCCCATGAAGACTTCATATGTTTGTGAAAGTGCAAGTGAGGTTTTTTCAAATTTGTGTCATCAGATGGATAGGAGCTGTAGTGGTGGGAGATTAATCAAATAGGTTAATTATCTTGAGGCTACTAGAAGTAGTAAGCAAAGACATACCATTCTGTCCTGATGTGCCATTATGCTACTGTTTTTTGTAGCTTTTAATATGTGCACTGTTTTACTAGTATGTGTCATTTGAATGGGCAGGGTTTTTTGTTTGCCTATCTTTCCCTTTAAGTTTTGATTAAATTGTCAGTGTTTTTATCTCTCATTTGTTTTTTTTTATTGTGGTAGAAAATACTGATGTTTAGTACGGACACTCTGGCTGTTTTGGTGGGGTGAGTAAGGTGGTGACCTCTTCCCAAAGTAATCTTTACTCAGGCAAACTTGGAGCTTCTGTGAAGTGCTTCCCATACCAGCATGTTTCTCTGGTGGACCTAATCCAATGCCTCTGAAGTGTTGACTGTGGCCTGATGTTTGACGGCATAATGTAATGGATGTCACTCCAAACAAATGGAGCTGGAATCTGGCAAAGAGCTTTTGACAGGAGCAGTTTAGCTCAGGAATTTGTAGAAGCTCAGGGTTAAATTAGTGTTTCTGCTAGACCTATGCCATGAGTACTTAAATGCAAAAAAAATGCTTGGTTGCACCTGCCTGGCCCCTTTTTACCCCTTTACAAAGGTGGCAAATGTACCTGTTGGTGGCAAAATTAGGAAGCTGCCTGCACAACAGGGAGTCCCACCTCATAATTTCCACTACTAACCTGGTCACAGGTATGTCCTAAATGCTTTGCTGATGATCTACCAAGCAGGATGTGTTTGCAGTTACTGCAGGGATTTTGTATGATATGTTAGCAGAAGATCTGTTTAGGGGGGTAGAAGTTCTTGCATGAGGTGTATTTGGAAGGCAAGGTGTTGTCTAACTGTGATAAAATGTTTGTGTCCACGAAAGGAGAGCTTGCAGTGTTTGTACTGCTCTGCTAGCTGGCAGCGAATGGGCTGGCTGTGCTGCAGTGGTAGAGTCAGAAGCATGCTCCTGTTCTGCAGCATATCGTTTGTTTGGGTTTTCCCATGAATCACGCTATCTTTTATTTCATGTTTCTGCATGTCTGACTGGTGAGACATGTAACAGTGAGACATTAAAAACATCCTAATATTTTCTCTGAGTCTGCGTTTGGCTGCTCAGGAACCTGATTGCTGTGTTCTCTCGTGACTTGAAGGGAGAAAACGTACACAGTGGCCTTGGTTTCCAAAAATGGTCTGAGTTTTAGGGTGCCCATCTTAATACCTTTTGAAAGTACTTGAGGTTTGGGTTTCGTTTTTTTTGTTTGTTTGGGTTTTTTTACTGTCAGTGTTCAGCACTCTGAGAGACACACATCTCAAGTTGTACACCCTAAAATAAAAGTGCCCAAATATCAGTCTTGCTTAAAATGCATTGCTTGGTTCTGTGGTTATTTATGTGGTTAACTGAACAGCATGGGTACCACATGGAGTGTTTCATGGTCTTTGCAAGTCTGAGCTGACTTGTCAGTGTTGCATGTGGACTAGCAACTTTCTGACACTCTACATTTGCCGTGCTTTTTTCTGTATGGGAGATGAATTAAGATTCCTTGGAGGAGCCAGCAGTATCTGTGAGTGAAATGGGGGCTCATAGGTGGTGGTATTTAAGGAGGTTTTCATTATTTTACCAGAATTAAGGCTCTGGATTGTCTGTAAAGCCAGCTGGTTATGTTTATGGGGTATGTTACGTGTGACCCTTTATAAACATACTAGTTTACTATCTCCAGTAATAAAGCTTTTTCTAGGATCACATTTAAAGTCTTATTTTGAACAGCGCAGCATGTTGTTTTCCTAGCTATTTGCTTATAAAGATGTTTTCCAGAGCTACCTTGGGCTCCAAATGAGGTGATTGTAGTAAGACTCAATGTGGAAGAGAGACTGTGGACAGAGACTTGATAGCCAAGCAAAATTGTGTGTCAGCAGATGGAGGATGAGATCTAAAAATAGACTTTTTTTCATACTGTGACTGTCCATGTCACAAAATCGTTGTGCAGACTGGCACAATCATTTGTCTTGAAGAAAGCTTGGGAAGCAGGGCAGTTATCAGAGCAGATGGACAGAGTTCTTGTGACAGTGCTTGCACCTGCAGTATTTCTGTTGTACTGACCCTGACACTGTATATTCACTGCACAGTTACTTTGTTTATATATTTCAAGATACTGGCATTTAATCCATTAAAGTGCACAACTGGGAGCAGACTGGCAGTGTCTGGGGAATGGACTGGATGACCTGCCCAGTGTTTTTTTCATCTCTGAGAATGTTACTACTTAGAGATTTTGTTGTGATGTTCTCTGTTGAGACCGTGTGTATTATACAGTGTGCAAACATACTACACAGACCTTTGTCCTGGAGACTTTGCATCTTGCCATTCTCATTTTACTGTTTTAGGAGTGTCTTGTCTTTTGATATTTTCTTGGAACATGTTGTCTCAAGGTATCAGATCCCTAAACAGCAAAAAATGATGGCTTTGTCAACAAACAATCAAGCTTTAGTTTAGCCTGTGTTTGCTTATTTCATACAGGTACTAGATTTGCTTCCTGGTTAGCAAAGAGGTGAAGAAAACCAGAGTCTTTAAGCTTAAAATTAAGTAGGTTTGATAATGGGGAAACATAATCTACCTTGGAATCTTCTATACCTACTAAGAGGATTAGAAATATTTTAAATGTTTTTGCAGCACTGTAAATCTTCTAGTACAAGTAAATGCGAGATTTACATTGGGTTTGAATGTTAATGCATGGGCAAAAATGCCACGTAGTGTAGCTTGGCATGCACGGTGTTGAGCACAGAGTCAAGCGCTCAGTTCTGCCCTTTTTCTGAAGAACAGTGCTTGGTTTCTTCAGCAGTCTCACTGGCTCCCTTCAGGTAACAGTCAACAAACAGCAGGAGTATGGAAATCTAGACCTTCACTAACTTGCACTAGCGTGGTTTTTTCTGTGAAGCTTGGTGGTGGTGGTAGGAAGTAATTATCTGAAAAGATTTAATTATTTTTTTAACCAAAAAAATAAGAGGAAATAAGAGGGGTTTTGGACCATTCCCCCTGCCTTGCCCCCCCCCCCCCCCCCCCCCTTCTTGGGAAGTATAGTTGCTGGTTTTATCAGCTTTGATCATTTGCTTAATGTGATGGCTGTTTACTCAAGGGGGCAAACACTGCAAACTCAAAATTTTCCCTTAACTCTTAAAACCTTCCCCTCCATCCCTAAACAAAGCATCTTTCGCATTTTTACTAAATGTAAATATTTAACAGAAGTGAAAGAGGGAAAGCAGGGTCATGATTTCCCTGTTTTTGTTTGAGGGAGATATGTTTGCTGGAAAATTTGTGAAAGCAAAATGCTTAACCGGTGCTCCCTTGACTATTTCCCTCTCTTTAGAGCGATGATTTGGGCATGCTGTTGTCCTGTGCTGAGTGAGTTTGTATACATGAACGTGAGTTACAGCAGGAGTAGGTGCAGATGGCATGATGCTTTCTGTTTTATGCCTTGGGCCTGTGTGCCTTTTAAGACAGCTTGACACTTCCTATTAGGACACAGTGTTTCTGATTGCTTATAACTGCTAAAATTTGTAACTGTTTGGGGTGAGAGTTTATTTTTCAGGCTCTGTTTCAGGCAGTGTGTTCTGGATGCAGTCAGCGCTCCTCTTGATGTGAGCAGCTCTGAGAAAAATGCTGTTTTCTTCATGTAAACTATTTAAAAAAGTATGTTTAACCTGTTCTTTGACATTCTGATGTTGTAGAGCTGGGGGGGGGGTGACTCATGAAAAGACTGAATGCCTAGGCCAGAGGTGATTTTCCATCCCACCGCCACCCCCAGTCAATAATCTAAATGTGTTGGCCAAGTTCCAAACCTTTGAAAAAGAAGTTAGACTTTGCACATGGTCAGCAGGGACTTGTTTGATCCTATTGTCTGAAGCTGTATTTCATCTGGGAGTGAGGTTATGTGGGGCTGATTGGAGGACAAAACTGTCACCAGCTTGGGCAAAGAGGAACTAGGTGCAGAGATGCACAAGGGTGGGGTTTAGGTGTAAGTGCTAGATTAGATCAAGGTGCATCCAGCCCAGTATCCTGACTCAGACGTTGGTCAAAGCAGCTGTCAAGGAAAGTGCAAAGACAAGCCAAGAGTATAGTGATACTTCCAGAGTACTTGCTCAACCTCTTGACCTGTATTTCAGGAAGCCAGAGGCCAGATCTTTGCGTCTAATCGTTGTATTTATACTCTATAAAGCCTCACCAGGAGGTTAAGACTTGACTGAGCAGGGAGGGGCAACAAGGGGTCTGTCATTTGTGCAGAGTGAGTGGAGGAGCAGCAGGACTTGGAAAAGTGGGCAGAAGCTGTTCAGCTGGGGAAAGCGGGGGTTACAGGAGGTGACTGCTGAGCAGCATCTCCCTTAGGCCTGAGATGGTCAAGACTTGCTTTTATTCTGGTGTCAGCAGATAGCTGTGAAAGCTACTAGCCAAGCATCTGTCACTGGTGCATATGGGACATCGCGTGCTGCTTATGGTATCAATTAGTCAGTTCAAGGTAGGGACATGTGAGCTGGACATACAAGTTTGTTCAGCTGGTGAATTAGATAAATGGTAACAATACTGCTTGAATAGACATTTTCCTCTTTTTAGCTTGCTTTGGTGAAAAGCTAGGGAATTAAAAATGTTCTAGGCACTGGAGGAACATTCTTGTGGCTGCTAAGCCAAGTGTTTATAACTGCGGAGCAGATACGACATACCAGCGTGAAGATTGCCTGTGGAATCCTGCTTCTGCCCCTGTGTACATAGGCATGAAGAT